TGTGTTAATAAACTCCTCAGTTGCTGTGTGCTTATTAGGATTTAACAAATCTATATTGAAGTCACCACATATGAACATTAATTTATGACTTATTGTCAAGTAATTTTCTTCCATCCAGTCATTAAATTTTTCTATGCTGGCTCCAGGTGCTCTATAAATACAGCTTATTACAACATTTTTCTTTTTTTCCACTAATATTTCTACAGTCACACACTCGAGCAAATTATCAAGCACCCTAGACATTTTGTCTACTTTCTTATAACAAAAGTTTTTATCTATGTACGAGGCCACACCACCTCCCATCTTATTCTCTCTGTTTGTGCATACCAAGTCATAGCCATCAAGGTCAAAATCCATTCCCCTTACATTATTCATCCAAGTTTCAGAAATAGCAATTATATTAAAAGAATGTGTAAGACTACTAAGATAATGTTTTATACTCTGAAAGTTTGCGTATAAACTTCTGCTATTAAAGTGAATTAATGATAATTTGTTTTCAGTCTTAACATTGCTGTTAAACTGCTCATCCGTGTAATACTTGCAGTTATTTTCAGAGTTCTTAAAAAAGTTTTTTTCAGGGTCAAAATCATCGTCCGATTCATGATAATGTTGTTCAGTGTCTCCAATTGTGTTCAGTTCCAGATCCAATCCCTCAAAAACTATTAACCTCTGTAGCAAATCACTTGCCTCATTCCGTACGTGGGTCATACTTGTTGTTGGTCCCGGCTAATTGTTGGTTCCAACGACCATTTGCCCTCACAGATATCAATATACCTGCGTGTTTCTTTATACAGCTGAGGGTCCAGCGACCCCTTCATACTCTCCTTGTCTGCACTGTGTAAAGCTTCTGGCTTAGTTTGTGTTTGCTGCTTTCAAATGGAATTTGGAGAGTTTGTCTCCGGCTCTGACAGTTATCTGTTTCCACCTGTGTCCATACTCAATGTGTGTGTGTCCATGAAGCTGTGCTGGTGGCAGGCGGTGGCCCAACACCTTACTGAGGCACTTTATGGTGGGTTTTTCTTTCATTTGCTCCTAGGTGACAAACCCTAGCTGTGCTTCTGCCCCACCTACATGCACAAGGTTTCATAAAGCAGCAGGAACTGATTTTTGACATGTCACTGTGGTGTATAAGTGCAGCTTCATGGAGTTTTTGCTCTCAGCCCTGATCAAAAACATACATCAGAACTAATCACCTGCAGAGGAAACTGCAGATGACCTGAGGTTTGACAGTGTGAGGAGAGTCAGGGACTTACGAGTCCTTTCTTTGTCGGACTGGCGCAGACCTTCTCCTTCTGGGTAAACCGGAACCACCGTTACAGTATAGGGCGTGTCTGACAGCAGATTCCTCAGGATGGTGTTGGTAGTGCCACCCGACACCTGCTCCTGCTCACACACAGCGAAGCAACTTTCCATTTCATATCTCAAAATGAACTGACTTCTGGCACACAAAGGGTAAAAGTGCATAATGCATTGCTCTGATATAAACTTGCCTG